ACCAAACCTCCAGATCCCGGACTATATGATTAATAGAAAGCAGCAAGCAAATCCGTTAACCGGGGTTGTTGCTTATGATACACCTGTAAATTTCTATTGAGAGAGGCTAGAAAACAATACCTTGAAGAAGCGCAACTTCCAGCTACTACATTGGAACTATGGGCTTTAGCTTCTTCTTCCTGTCTCTCCGAAGCAGAAGCTGACTTTTCTTCATCGCTGTCAGTATAGAACGTGATGAGAAAAGGTCAAAGAGGAAGAAAAAAACTTCAATCACTCATGTTTTTAACACCCTAGCTAGGGCATGCACCTGTTTTCTTTGACGTAATTATCCTCCTCTTTATCCGAAGCACGCTCATTTCGTCTCAGATCAACTGGATCAGTGCTCTCTGGTCCCTTACTTTCTAAGCACTGAAGACACATTGTTAAACAAAGAATACTGTAGGAAAACTTTCCAAAGTAGAAATTAGATCGAAGAAAGATACCTGCTCATATCTCTTTTTGAAAGCCTGGATGGAGGCCAGCTTTTCTTCAAATGGAGCCAACTGGACCCAAAATGTCTCGACTACGTATCTGATCAATACACTTGCATTTCCCTGCACACAAAAAGGTAAAATATGTACAGAGGAACCTCCCTAATAAACAAACGATGGGGAGAAGGACGAAAAATAGGAACCTTGTGTATGTGCTCAAGAAGTTCCAGGACAGCAGAATTCGGCAGATTGTCTTGGTTGCCATTGGCAACAAAAAAGTCTATTATTGGTTTCAGAATGTTGTTCTTAACAAGGTAACTCTGGACATTATCATCCTGAAATAGAACGTTATATTAGAAATTGCATAATAGCATCCCTAATAACTTATTGTCATCCAAGCAGCTCTTGTAACCATTATAGAATCAGTTTTCTATAATATGACATGTGCCACTCAACTAACTTATCAGAGTGATTTTATGCGATGACTTTGGTTTGGTACATATTCACAAGATTCTTGAACTTCCATTTCAAATTATTAATACAGAAAATCTCTGAGCTTCAGTTTCCAACTAGTTCAGATAACCAATCTTTATCTTGTCAAATTCATTCTTAAAGAGAGAGTGCACAGATGAGCATACAAGAAAAAAACTGCTGATCGGAGACTACTTACATGGAGAGAGAGGAGAGTACGGAGAAATCGAATAGCTGCAGCCACTACGGATTTATCCTTTCTTCGCATGAGATGCAAAACCTTTTCTGTCATGTTTTTATGGAGAAAACTGCACGTTGCAGATAAGAGAAGAAAAGGCACAAGAATATTAGATGGAGACTATAACGAGGATATAAAAGAATATACAATGTGATAATCATCATAAAGATTACTTTGTCCTGAATGAATCTAGCGGAATGCAAAAGGACAGCAGTTCACAGATGTTCAATAAGACTTCGGGCTTTGCCACACAATCGCTACCACCTCTTCTGGATGCACCTTCAGATGTATTGCCCGGCCTTTCAGGACATGATGCAGTAATGAAATCAACTAACTCAGGTAGATGCTCCGCACAGAAAATATCCATGATATTTGCTTGCTGCAAAAAATTAAAAAACAAATATCGAAGAATTATTTTTAATAGCAATAAAGAAGTATTGCAGACAAAAGAAGAAAGAAGGGACATGTAACGAACATTCTAGCAGATATGTATCGAAGAATAATCAATACAATGCAAGAAAAACCAACTATGTGCGGACCTCAGAAAAACAGTTTTTAATACGTGTTTCTACTTCTGATTCAACCAATCAAGGTTTTCTGGATACCCTCCTTGACTATGACTTATTCACACAACAGTACATATAAAAGGGGAGAATGTCCTTCTGCTTATCAGAGAAATGAGATAATGAAAGGGAACAAAGATGCACCTGAGCTCCACCAGATAATGCACTTGGCAGTATAGCTTTAAGAATTTCTATAAACTGGTGGTGCATCTTATCACCAAAATCTTCCATCATTCCCTTAACCTATTGCACATAACGAAAACCAATTATTATTATTTTGAATTGTAAAACCAATTATTACTCCATTTAGTATAAAAAGCAACAGGGAACAGACTCACAGCTGGAAAAGAAATACAATCCAAAAGAACACAAGCATGAAAGAAAAATTACCAAGAGACCAAGGAGGGGAGTTCCTTCCGTTCGAACAATATAAGAGGGTAAGAGGTTGGCATCTACATTCACGAAAATAAGGAGGATTTTTGCCCTGCATCCATACAATAATTCTTGAGTATATCACTGCAAAATTGTGTACTTTTTTTTTCCTCAGAAACCCACAGATAAGGCCGTAAAGTATCACGACCAATCTATCAAGTATAATTACTAATTAGTTAGAGGTAGTAATATACCCGGTTAATACGAGATTTTTGTCTGGACTCTGCAAGACTTCTGCTATGATATCAAAAATTCCTTTATTCATAAGTTCCCTACAAGATAGTTAAATAGACAAGCACCACACGTAAGATACAGAAAACTGATCGACATTCTCAAAAGCACTAGCTGCTACACACATATCCATTTCAGAAGACTTATTCTCAGTACCAATTGATTTAGTTTCTGAAAAGTACATACCTAATGACTGAGAGATGCTGTTCCATTCGGAGGCTCTTGCTCAAACTACAAAATTCATGCAAGAAATCTACCTATATTTGGAGAATAAAAAACAGATCAGTCAAACTCACCCAAGAAAAAAAATGGTTTTGGTCAAGATATATTGTATGCTGCTATCAGGCTACACAAGAACAGCACTAGTTTCTCAACATAGACATCACTGGTTTCCCAGAAAAATCTCTTAATTAAGTTGAATTTCCATCAACGAATTTACAACCAATGCCACGATAGCTGAATAGGCATAGAGATACAAAGGTTTGGAACTCTTTTTATCTAAGAATCTTTTTGACAGGACCCTGCCCAAAATCAAAGCATTTTACTGACAGGGCCCTATTCAAGGATTTTAACTAAACTAACCTTTTTCATACAGTATTTCCAAGAAATACAGGGGGGAGAAAAAACATAATCTTAGCAATTACCAGATTATTCCTGGATTCCACAGATGTAGAAGGTGACCGTAACCTTGCAAATAACTCTTGGATAAAAGTGTTGTCATCCTTCAGCAGTGCAATAACCTGCAGCAGATAGTCATTAGTAGAGCAAAATATGGGGTGCATGCATATTGCGTTCAATGTCGTTAAACATTTATAATGTTTATTTGGATGACTTACGGTAGCGTTGTTTGTATTGATTACTGAATTCAGGTTTGCAGCTGTAGCATCATCTATTACTCTATTCAAAACAACATCCTGTAAGAGTGACAAAACGGTGAGACCTTTAAACCTTCAGAAAATAAATAAGCAAATTGTTTTCAGAAGAGTTCATGGGATTGAACCTTCAGATAACCAATTCTGTATGTTTGGTGTATCTTCGACAGAACTAGGGGATTTTCAATTGGTATAGCCTGCATATAATAACGGGGATCAATAACTATGTTTTCAACTCTGAAAAATTTTTCAAAAAAAAAAAAAACTACATAATTCTCGTTTCTAAATGGGAACCAATCCTTAAACCAACCATATATAGCATTTTTTCCTGTTAAAAGAATGTGTCGACGATATTTCTTATCGAAATTGTGTGTCCCCTATGTTCCCTAAGCTCCGCCTAAGCTATCTAGCCCAGAACCACACGGAATCATGAACATACGAGAACATTGTTTTACCTCTTTAAAAACAACATGCTCCTTCAGAAAATTCCGGTGATGTTGGTGAGCCTGAGGAACATCGGGATTGTCTGTGAAGAGAAACAAAAAAGCAGCATTAGGAATTGGGCAAGAAAGAATGCATAGATGGGCCTATAGCCTTTGTGGTTCCATATGCATACCCTAGGTACGTAGGTAGCATATTAATTAGAGCAAACAACAAGGAACCATCTAAGGAAACAAAGAGCTGGTAAATTCTTCACTCTCCACGGGTGAGAAGTTCCAGGTATAAGTTCACATGAGAAATTATTAAACGCTGTCAAGTCTCCCTAGCTGCAATATCGTAATAGCTGCAATATGTTTCCAAAATGGCCTATGCCAAAGATGGCCAACGGCTAAATTCTACTGGTCATGCCCTTTGTCGTCACTGAAAATTAAGATCATCAAAGTCCAATAAGAGACATTAAGCTTACACTCAAGGCACCCAATAATTTTCATGATCAGTTCATCCCCTACGATTTTCTCCAGGATCTGAGGACTGTTGAATGAAACTGCATAAGAATCGAAACAAGAAATGATGCTTATTACATAACTTGAGTAATAAATAAATGTTGTTGAGAATCTTGAGATGTATGTGAATACTAACTGATTCGTTTGACAATACTGAACATCACATGAAGGCCATCAATATTTTTCGAGTCCTCACAGATGTCAAATACTTTCATCAAATTCGGAAAGAAATCAAGCTGCATCAAGTATCAGGAAAGACACTACGTTAAGGAGGTTTTCAGTGTCAATTCCTTAACAAATTGAACAAGATTAACAACTCCATCAGTACAAACAAAAGAAAAAAAGTGTTTGTTTGAAAGCATTACAAAATAGAACAAAAAAAAAAGCTTAGTTAACAAACACATGTGCTAGGAAAAAGTATGACCAGAGAGAAAGTAATTAAGTATTACAGTAAAAAGAATTGGAAAGGACAAGAATGGATACCCATTTCTTTCATACAAAAAGTAACAGTGGAACTTTGGAAGGCAGTTAATACTTACATCCTTCAACATAAGTTCGGCTAACCGCATCTGATCTGTAATGCCACTTTCAGTAACAATCTGCAGGGAAGATGGAGACAAATAAATAAAACCATCGGCAAAACAGAGACCTAAAATGCAAATTCAGGACATTATGGGCACTGCATAAGACAAGAAAACTCCGACAGATATACAACACATAAATGCACACTGATAGTGTAAATAAAGACGAGAACAAACAATTGTAGTTCTGGGAGATACAAATTATCAAAAGACAAATTTGACAAATCAGTAGTACAAAATCATGAGACATGTAATGTTGCAGTAATGAGACATGTAAAGAAGGGTAAATCATCTAAACTAACCACAATGTAAAGAAAGCACAAAATCAGTATTATCTTAGAACCTTGAGTATTAGGGGAAGAGAAGAAAGCCCAACAACAGGAAGTTCCCTCAACTCACTGTTCACGTTGTGAAATGTTTCACCTGCCCAAGCAAAGATGGTTATATTGTCAATTACAAGATTTGTGACCGAGACATAAAATATATGCATGAAAGAAAAAGAAATTAAAAACTTGGAAAGCAATCAAAAGTTTCAATTTTCATGAAAGTGCTGAAACAAAAATTGCAGTCATCATAATATTATTTTCAAATACAGAATTCATGACCCATATAAGAAACAAAATATGCTTAGAAAATGATCAAAAGAGTCATCATCGTGTGAAAGTGCTGAAACAATTTGTTTCTTTTCAAATATTCTGAAGTCCAAATGTTCACGCATGGTAAATGAACAATTAGCTACACAAATGTGATAACTCCATCTACGTCAATCCCATGAACTACTTTTACAGAAACATTAAAATGCAAACTTGTAACTCAGTCCTATGACAGAATATATATAATATTATACGAAAATGAAAGAGCATGTGTTAAATATAAGGGGAAAATCAGACTAGTAAAAAGTTGAACAAATTCGGTCAGGAAAAATCTCTTACTGTTCAGAGAATTGAAATGTAGATTCCGTTGCATAGTGGATATTTGATCCCTGAATAGGGCGAAGCAACATTTTTGCAGTCAGTAGAATGGAAGCTCATCAAAAAGAAGACAATAGAATTTTTCTGTCACTCACCATACAAAAGAGCATCCAGCAGTCTCTTGAAAGCTCAAAGCCAATTCAGTAAAGCGCTCTGGGTCTCTCCATGAGATAATTGTGTCTGTACATTGAAGCCGATACCACTTATTCAAACAAACAGAAAACCCAAGATTCAATAGTTAATAAAACCACAGTACACAAAGGCTACCTTCTTGCTTCCTGTAGATATCCTCAGTGCTGACGCGGTGTACAAGCAATGTCGCATTATCGTCTTCATCAATTACATATAGACCGAGTTCTTTAGATCGCTGCATTGTATAGTGTTTCCATTTAGCTACAAGTAATTTCTAGAATGCGCACTGCAGAATTCTGGCAGCAGGAGGGAATCCAGGAATTAGAACAAACCTCCATATAGTCCATACTGACGTGACCAGTTCCTCGATCATCCCATTTACCATCTTCAGTCAAACGATAAACCTTCACTCTCTGGAAAATAGGGACAACAAGAATGAGATGGCTACAACAGTGTACGGAGGAAAAGAACCATTGCAAGCATAGGGGAATGTTCACAGAAACCAATGGAATTGAGCTCATGCGTGATTCCAAAGCACATATTACTATTAGATTCTGCTACACTACCCAACAGAGCGCAAATCCAGTGAATCAAAACGATGAGATCCTCCAAAACCCCACTTCGCTACTGAATTGATTCGCAATTGATGCGTAACTATGACAGAACTAAGCAGCGATACCATTATAGCATCAAAGAACCAAGAAAGATCGATACATAACGAGCACCCAATTCTCAGATACTTCCCCGCGCAAAGTAACGAGCGACCAAAGGAAGAAGATAACCAAAGAAAGAGGTAGAGACAAACCTGCAACGAATTGGGGTTTTCTGGTGCCGCCATAGCTAGCTAATCGCAACCGTAGATTCCGAAATCGAGCACGCCAAACTCAGTACGGAGGTGAATCGGAAGCGAAATTAGGGTTCTTGGAGAAAGAAGAAGAGATACAGAACGAGACGGAGTAGAGAGAGGCGGGAGATAAAGTTTTCTTCAGAAACTCGTAAACGCCATTAACGAAGAACAAAGAAACCTTGACATTCTCTCTCTAGGTTCTCTCTCTTCACTTGTATGAGTGAGTTTTCTTGTTTTCTTTTTGTTATTTATTTTGCTGCGCACAAGATTTCAGCTACGTAATGCAG